TGCCTTCTACCCTGGTAGCCAAGGCTAATGTCAGTTGTTTTCTCCTGAAAAGGGAGTCATTTGATAAGATCCAGACAAATCAGTGTAAGCAAAGTCGTGACCAAAACGACCAAATCAGCAAACCCTCGCGAGTGTCTACGTCACTGTTTCAAAACAACTCTGCTTCTGCCCATCCAGATTACAATGCTGGGCTGGTAAAGTTAAGGCATTTTCAAATGAAAAGGTTAGAGTGTTGTGCATGAACAGGGTTCAGTGAACGCGTTCATATTTTTGGTGAACGCTGAGCTGAACAAATCTGTTTACAAATGATGAACGTGAACTCTCACTGGAGTGAACGCTGCTCACGTTTTTTTAATCGCCATCGTATAGGCCAGCACATGAAATACCAGGGGTGAGTGAAAACACACACACATGCCCAAGGGCCCAGCCCCACTCACTCACAGCGACACAGTGAGATAAGAGGAGCTTGTTCACGTGAAGCAGCCTGTAAGTTACTTTGTTGAAGAACAGTGGGAACAAACAGTGAAAATACAGTTTCCACTGAAGTCCACAGCTGCACAACGATCAGAGCAGAAGCTGCAGGTGGTTTGTACCGAGCTGAATTATCTCTGTCCTCCTCCACTCTGACCTGCTCTCACTTCAACTAATAAACTCTCCTCACAGGTTATCAGGACCTGATCAGTACATGATGTTTGCTCAGTGTTTGTTTGATTTGCTCCAGAGTTTATGAGGCTGCAACATAATGAAAAATGAGTCGTTAACATTTTGTGCGCTCAGTACAACACGAGACGTGACGCACACAGTCAGGACTCAGTGTTAAAGCCACCGGAGCGATTCTGATTCATGATCCGACACCATCGATTCGTATCTTAATATTTCTCATCCAAATCATAACCATCTCAAGATAGAGTAGTAGTTTGAAATTTTAACTTGAACTGATTCACCACTGGTGCAGCCTCAAGCGTGTGCAGAGAAAACCGATAAGACCAATTTGGACCATGTGAATCAAAGCAGTACAAACAAATGTTCAGTGTCACCGTACTGCAGGTGTACACTTTTCACTCGCAGTGTTTGACTTCCACCCACAACAGCAGCTCAGCGAAACACAGTGTTCCTGTTCCTGCAGCCACACAGAGGCAATGAATAGACTGATGCACACACGCAGCGACAGGAACATAACAATAAGCCACACCAACAGAGAGCATGCTGCACGTCAGTGACTCACTCAGTCTAGGGCTATAGCAAAAACGTGGTATCTATCTGCTGACTCATATATTACATATTAGTAACATCTGTGTTTTTTGCACTTATTAACACATGAGGATCATATGCACGTGCACACAAACACACACAGAGAACACATTGGGCAGCTCAAGCACATGCAACTTTCCTTACATATCTAAAAAACTGCAAAATCACTGGAAAACACCACCAGCTACATAGTACATATAGAAATGTGTTAGCTGGTCTGTCTGGGTTCTGGTTTAAGATCTTCCCTGACATTGGATTATTGATGATTATTGATATTTGCTGTGAGAATGGTCCTTCATTAGCTGGTTGTAATAACAAGGGAACAAAAGCAGGGAGTGAGTGAAGCTTCCACATGCAGATGGTCCTGATGTTGACCTGCAGCAGATCCTGCGCAGACAGAAGAGCGATTCAAACACACAGAGAGGACAACAGACTGCTGGACCGCACTCTCTGCACTTCCAGTTTTTTTCCGTCATCACATACGACACATCCACGAATGTTCTGTGGATTGTCCCAGTCCAATTATAAACCTTCCCCATCAGCAGCAATATCACCCCCCACCCCCCTCTATCTTAGGGAACATCTAGTACATTACATCTCCACAGCACAAACAGAAACCGTACTGCACAGGGTTTATGTCCTTATTGCGTTCAATACCAGTAAACTCCCATAAGCCCTTTCTATTTATCTTAAAGAGAAATTCACTCCAAGTTCCATTTTTACTGCTCCGGTGGGATTTCCTCAGGACTCTGACGCACTTGCGCTGTAACCCCAGCACAATGCAGAGCAGAAAACACAAGGACGTCCTCTGCAGGAATTGTGTTAGGTCAGAAATGGCCCACATGCTGTGTGGATGGATGGCACTTGGATCTGCTGATCTGGGCAACAAGTAAGCAAAAGATGGCCTGGATGTGTTTTGTGTGTGTCTGTGTTTTCCAGGTAACACTTTACTGAGAGCACTGCCAAAAGAGGCCCAAATTTGTTTTGGGATATTTGATCCTCATCCTTCTATTTTACAAATGGGCAACTTTAGGCTCACATCCATTTTGTTTGGGCCACAGGTGCCAGATCATTGCCTAAAGTGGCCCACATCCGTAATGCTATCTATACAGATTTTTATTTGGATCTGCACTGAATTGCACACACTCATAAATATCAGTCCCCTCAAGATGCCAGATTTTTTAATCAAGGGTTAATTATTATTTTCGGAGAAATCAAATAAATAGTCAAAAAACATCCTATCTCAAACCAAAATGAGTGAAAAAAACTAATCCTGGATCCGCCCCCTGATCCAGATTCATACCAACATTTGAGGTTCTTTCCTGAACCACACCACATCCTTCATCCAACAGGTTTTCATGGAAATCAAGTCGTTTTTGCCTCATATACCTCAAGCTGCTTTCAGACCTCCAAAGTAACTGTCCACATAATCACCTGTCCCTCTCCAGAGAGGCTGTATGTGAGAGAGTGGAAGAGGGGGGGGGGGGTTTCCTTGTTTGTGTGATGCAGAAATATGAAGCGCCACCTTGTCAGCACGCCACGCTGTTTTGCCTCCAGGTAAAATGACACCTACAGAAGAAATATGGCCGACAGCAGAGCCGGAGAGCGAGACGCCACACTTTAAATCATTATCCTGCAATGAGGGTGGAAATGTGTCACTGTGTGATGAGGGACAACTTTCTAACTGGCACACAAACACAAGACGACATGTGACACACGCACACACAGAAACATACTTTTTCTTTTATCCCTTATGTGTGCGTGTTTCACTTTCTATGTATTTAAAAACTGCAAATAAAAAAAGAGATAGTTTTATCACACTGTCCACCAGAAAATCTCTGATTATTTTTTCCTGCTTCCTCTCATGAAACGTGAGGCACAGTAGCCTATATGTCTGATGACGACAGATAAAGCCCACACTCGTTTTGAGATCCCACAGGTTTTCCCACCATTAACATTTCATCCACACTGTGCAGAAAAGAATACTGTCACAACATGCTTCACTTGACTTGGACTGGGATGAATACCCACTCAAGATATTCTTCAATAACTTTTTTTCTGAAGGCCATAGAGACCATAACCCTCTCCACTAATGTGGGTATGCCCGATCCATTGGTATCATCCCCGAGCTTCTACGACCTTTGGAAGGGTTAGGGTAAGGGTTGTGATTAGTGTTTGGTTTTTGGGTTGTGGTTAGGGTTAGGGATGAAAACCTATTGGAGATCAAGATATTCTTCATAGAGGCTTGGGCATTTCAGGATTAATAAAGGGTAGCTTGCCACGCAACCACACCGAATTTCAGCACGTTTCGCATAAGCAGCGCGGAGTTATTCACCCTATGGTGAATATGGCTTAGGGTTGCAATGAGGGTTAGAGTTAGGGTTAGGGTTGTGATTAGGGTTTATTAGGGAAGACTGTCAGCTGAAATTCGAGAATTGAGTTAACGCACAATTCTGCCACAATGCAATAATCAGAGAACATGGAAGAGGTGAAATTTCTTTTTTTATTGAAATAACATGTTCTTTTCTTGTTGGAATTTTCACAGTAGCAGTGGTGGACCTGGGATCTTTCTAAATCAGGGGCCATTAAGGGGGGGCCACTCAGATTTCAGCTGATAAATATCCACCCCTATCCAACAATGTTAGTAATGACAACATTTACAGCAATACTCTACTATTGACACTTTAAATAAGATTTTTCTTTTGATGTTTGCATTAGTTGTTAATGCACCATATATTACATTATTTTGTATGATTTTGATAATAAAAAAGACAGTTTTTAATAACCCCTGCAATATGTTTTATAAATGCAGCTAAATTTATTGAATATTGCGTTCAGGGTTTTTAAATTATGTACTTATCTGTGTTCAGTATGTGTGACTAACAATTTTCCATCCGCAAACAGGCCTTGAGAGACTCGGTCAGCCAACGATATTTGCATCAGGCTGACCCACATAGCTCTGTGCAGACATGACCTTAATATTCTGCCTCGCTTCATATAGAGCACACCACTTCCATCAGTTCAACTGAGCGGCACAAAAGAGTGAAGGTGCACGCTGAGATTTGAGTCTTGAGGTGTGTTTGAAAAGGCTGAAGAAGCAGAGCGATGACCTGAAAGAGCCCGAGAATCAATGCTGTGTGAGGAAGACATAAGATTGTGTTTATACCCCCCCCCTCCAGTGAACATATCCTTCCCGTTGACAAACCACTGTGGACAATGATTGCAGTGTTGTTTATTTAATATCCACTGTCAGAGAGTTACGCAGAGGTTCACTTCTACATGGAGCCTTTAGGGACCTATAGAGACCCAGCCAGCTGCAGTAGTCTGGGCAGCTTCACGGGTACTGGTAAAATGCAGAGAACATGGGCTGCCTGTGAGGAAAGAGGATGTGCGACTGGGGTTGAAGGAGCTGGATCACCTAGGATCTAGATCACCATCTTAAACAAGGGAGTTACTTCTCAAAAGGACCAAAATATATCTGGCACCTGGACTTAATGACACTCCTCGGGGATCCAGCTCTTTCAACGCTGAGCGTACATCCTCTTTCCTCATGCGCAGCTGGTTGCGAATGAATTCATGACTTGTCCACTCTCATGTATTCTCCTGAGATGTCTTCCTCTTATGTAAAACCCTTACCTACTGATTTAATATCTTTATATTTGAGGCCAAAGTAAAGATCTTGTTGTGGTTTCCATGTTACCAAACTGGAGTACATTGAAGTGCTGAATGAAAAACATTATGAGATGTGGTAAAAGTAGATATTTTTTATTTTACAACCATCAATTTCTTTTTCTCCATGTCCCGTCATACTTTTACATGATAGATAACAGGTTATATCACTTTTCTTCATCGTTACTTTGAGAACTCTTTAATGAATCAATCATCTCCGGTGCTGCTCAAATATTTACCAGCACCACAAACATGAGACGTGACAAAAGTGGATGAGTTACAACTGACACTAGAGCAGTGTTTGCGCCAGTGAAAGCTGACTAGCTTTTTTTTGCTTTTGAGTAGCTTCAGTGACAACAAATCCATCGAGGGGGCGATCACATGACACTGACAGGACTTCCGATGAAGCTGCTTCACAGTGGTCTCCAGCACAAGTTGACCTAGTTGACAGCGGATGTAAGCACAGTAAGGAAGCAGTTTCATAGGAGAAAGGAAGTGAGGGGAGAGAGAATGGCAGCAAAGTGCTGGGTTCACAAACAAATGCACAGCCGCTGCCAGGAGCCCCTCCCTGCTCCTTTTTGCGTAAACTTGACCATTTTCTTTATCATTTGAATTAACTTCCTATTTCAGAGATATTAAAGATATTTTTTTCATAAATGAAGTAAAAAAGAAAAAAAAATAAGCTTAATTTTAAAGAATCAACATCGGGCAGATGTTTAATGTCTTGCCTCTAACTGTTTGTCTCCTCTGTAACCATGATGAACTATATTATGAGCTATTCTTTAACATTACTCCTACACTTCTCCGCAAGAAAGAGGAAGTTGCTTAATTAACTTTCATTTATTCCCATGTAGGCTTTTGATAGTATTTCTTTTGTAATTCTCAAAAGTGTGAAAGAGTTTGATTAGAAATGACACAGTGTTTGGAGCTAACTACAGGAATCGTTAACAAAAACAACGATTCAAGTGTATGAGTAGGTCGATCGATCAAACCGATAGACCTACCTCTCCAAAACTCCTGAAATGGTTTTTAAGCTTTCCAAACTTTTGTCAAGCCGTTTGTGACTCTTAGCAAAGTGAATTAAAATGATGACATGCCTTGGTCCAGTTATTCTTTGCTTTGAATGTGGTTGAAGTGAGGTGAATACATATGTTCAAGATCCATCACTTTGTTCTTAAAAAGCACAATTGAGGCAAAATCATGACTGGTCAGCCAGAGATACATTTCTCAGCTGAAACAGAGTGGTTTAAAAAATAATGTGGATACCTTGAATGATTTGTTTTGGTCGATACTGATTTGAAATTAACAAAAGACATGAAAAATAAACACAAACATATCTGATCATGTTTTGGAGATACTCTGGTTCTGTTTTCTTGTTTACCCTTTAACTTCAGTGTGTATTTACAACCCTAACACATGTAAAAGCGGAACATATCTGATAATATATCGTCTATATAAATGTTTTAATCTCAAAATTACAATTATATTCATTATTTTTCGTACATCTTTTAATTTTTTTAAATGTCTTAATATTTCATAAATTCAACACAGATTTGTTTGACACAAGTGATGGTTTTGGCCACATGCATATGTATTTGTTCAATTCTGAGGGGTTTGACCAGCACTTTGTTTGTCTTATCAATCTATTAAAGCTGCTTTCAGACATGCACTGAACTCTTGATAATGTCCAGAGGGGCTGTGTGTGAGAACGCAAAGGTCTGAGTCAGTTGCTCGGGAAATTCTCTAGAGTTCCCCCTAGTAAAAACTCTGGATAATGTGCGAGTGAGAAAAAAAACAGGAGATTCTCTTGAAGATTAAATGCAAGCGAGTGGGCGGGTTGATGTTGTTTCTAACACGTGACCCCCCCCAAAAAAAATACTAATATCTCAGGATGAAAAGGAGAATTTATATGTCATGTCCCGTTTCCTGCATGAATCTCCTGCTGCGTTCTTGTGGAGAAAGTCTGGACCCCATTATGTGGACATTCTGCAGAGTTCACATCTGAAAACAGCGTAATTAAGATCCATGGATCTTTGTGGAAAAAGCACCAGAATACAGTAGCCAGATTAACTCTTGAGGTATCTCTGCGTGTGTATTCACATTGCTGACAGTGGTATGGTACACACCTAAAAACAGCAACTAATAAGCTTATAAAACAGTAACAATGTAAGTCCAGGTCACTTTCCCTACAACTCATGGAGGCTATTGTTTTGTAAATATTAGCATGTAGTGGAGTGGTCTGTTGTTGTGAGTCAATCGTGGTTGAATGACTCATTAATGCAACACAGTGTTGAGAAATCCTGATAAGCCTTTTTGTGATCGACAGATAAAAACACTCTGGTGGCTCAAAAGAAAAAAACTAAAAACATGTTTGACTTGAGGCAGAAATGTCAACAGATAGATCCTTAAAAAAACATAATAACAGCAAACAGGTCGCAGCCGACAAGAAGTCCAATCTGCTCTGTCAGACTTCCCATGTATCCACATTGTCTAAATGTTCGTTTGTTTTGTTGTGACATGTTGTTTCAGAAAGAAGTGGAAATGTGGTTGTCAACATGACTTCACTCTCAGTCTCATAGTGCCCCCCTGTGGTCCTTCAAGTGAATGTCAACTCCCAGCAGAGACCTTGAGTCAACCATATAAATCAGTTTCCTTCCAGTGACACCCACTGGTGATGATATCATGGCGGTGGTGGTGACCCCCCACCCCAAGAAACTAACTTGGAAGCCAGGCCGCCATGGCTCTTCAGTGCAAGCATCCCTCACTGCCTCTTGCTGTCCAGGATGGCCCTCCAGTCGTCCGACCAAGACAGGAGGCGTCTCTGGGAGGGGCTGAGAGACAGATGCTTGTTGTGGCAGGCGGTAAACAAGATGTGCTCCCACGTCGGTTTCGTCTCCACGCCTGCTCGGGACACAACCACACTCATTTCACTGTGCGCAGTGTCCACATGTTTCAGACGACCTAGCAGCACCTGACTGACACTTCACACACTGTGGCAGCTGTCTCATAAACTGCAAACTGATTGAACTATTCCCAGGAATATGTATGTTTTCATTTTGATCTTGTTACATCACTCTCTATCTTGAGGCCAGTTTTTTCATCTTGTACGAACCCTCCCTGGAATGATTGTGTGATCATTATCGGCGGCCTACGGCTCAGGTGGTAGAGTGGATAGTTCATTAACCAGGTTGGCGAATTGATCCCCGTCTCCACCATCTGCGCACAAAGTGTCTTTGGACAAGATACTGAACCCCAAATGTGCAAGTGCAAAGTATTACTCATCTCAACATGACTGCTCCCCAAAAGTGAGGCTAATGCATCTCAATCACCCCCTAGTGGCTGGCTGCAGTGGACGTCATGAACCCTGCCTCATCAATGTTAGTGGATGGGACATGGACCAAACTAAAAAGTCGAATAGATTTTTCTCAGGGATAATTTTTACAATAAAATGAAATGTAAATCACTAGACATGTTTACATGGATATCAATAACCTGATTAAGCCTGAATAAGACGTAGCACATGTATATTTCTATATATGTCTATGTGCCCTGAGTGTAAACAAATAGTACGACTTAATGTTGACATGAGTCTTAATCAGATTATGCTCTGTAACATGTAAATGGGAATATGAAAAGAATATTTTATAAGCAATTCATGTAAACACAAACAAAACAATGTCTTATTAAGAATAGTCGGAATATTGGTGTCCATGTAAACATACTGACTGACTCATTTAACATTTAACATTAACAGCTTTCAAAACACTAACAATGTAAGTCCAGGTCACTTTCCTGTGTTCATGTATTGCACATGGGTGTCAGTGCCTACAACTCATGGACACTATTGTTTGGTAAATATTAGCATGCAGTGGAGTGCTCTGTTGACTGTCGAGGTAAACACTTCATGTGCACACACATTATCATGCACACAGTCCTCACCAAGAATATCAGGCTTGTCGTCTATGAGGATGTCTCCGCTGATTAATGTCTTGTCCCTGGTCAAGATGACCTGCTCCAGAAAGTCATGGCCCAAATGCTTCTCCACCCAAGCATACTGGACACACACAGCAGATTAGATCTCATCAGAAAAAAAAAGCAGAGTAATAATTTGCAAAAGGCACAGAATAGATGTTGTTGATTGGCAGAGGGCCTACCTTCTCATATGGGCAGTGTTTGTAATGCTTTATAGGGCTGGTGCAAATAAAGACATCTGTGCTGCAGAGAGAAAGAGAGACAAAACAACCAGAAGGGAAGAATTAATTATGAAATCAATGCTACACTCTCACCCCTGATGTCTCACAGCCACACTGGATGTTCATAACTGGAATGGATAACTATAACAGGCACCAGGCAGAGGTAGAGAGGGAGAAAAATATAAACATGAAATGACACCTGAGATTTCCCTGATGTGGAAACAGGTTCATTCAGGCAATGTGGAAAAGGGAAGTCCTATTTTCAGCAGGAGAGGAAATGTAAACATAGACTTTCATAAACGTGGTGGCTATTTCTGGATGTTGTTCCAGTGTGTTGTGTGTTTCTCAGAATGCTGCTGGAAAAGGCAACTGCAGCCTCCTTCTGTTGACTGAGATTACATATGAATTAAAACTCATAAAGTCGATGCTAATTACGTGTTGCTTCTACATGTAATCACAGTCTTTATGAAGAGTTGGACTGATGTGGGGTTTTCAAAGTTCTGGAGTGGAGCTTCTAATATCCATATTAAAACCTGAGTGACACTGACGTTTCTCAGTATCACTGTTGACGTGATGAAGGTTGCTCAAAAAGGAGCAACACACTTGTGGCCTGAACTACAACGTGAGTTTATCATACCCAGGATATGTTTCTGTTGTCTAGCTTCACTAAGCCTAACATCAAGCTTCCTGGACAACCTTTGTTACGAAGCTAATTATCAATTGTCTCAGTTAATTTGAAGTTAACTCTATGGCTGCAGTCAGAGAGTCAAAATAATTCTAAACACTATTCCTTGGAGGAGAAGCCGTGAGGAAAGGAAAGGAGAACTGCAGTGCAGAGAAAATCCATCCACTTACAGAGTTCTGCTTTAAAAAAAACAACTTTATATAAAACAGCAGATACACAAAGAAAACTGTGCCCTACGCCTACAATTCAAGACGGTTTCCTTCGGACTGGACAGATTTGACAGAGAAGAAATCAGGAGCTCAGACGATCATGTGAGAAGAAGAAATCAGGAGCTCAGGCGATCATGTGAGGACACTGAAGTGTATTAGGAAGATAAAACAACTGTTCTGTCTTTATATTTACATGGGTCTGTTACGCTGCTTTACAAATCTTCTGTGCCTGTCAGGATCCTGTGGACAGATGACTGGTTTTCCAGTGATCTGACTGGTCTGGACTTGGGCATTATCAGGTTTAAACTAGCTGCATTAATAGTTCAGAATATGTTACCATGGTGATTTACGGTGGTAGAGGAGATGACAGCAAATCCTGCTTCCTGGTACGTGAACTCTCCAGAGTTACAGAGTTACTCTCTGAAACAGTAATTCAAACTGGTGCCTCATCATGTGCAATCGAAAACAAATATGATTACAGCACATGTGAGACTGGAACCACACTCTATGGGCGGCTGTGGCTCAAATTGACCCTAGCTGTTCCATGAGTGATGTGAGATGAAACTGCACAAAGAAGCACTGTGTGACTCTGACCTCAGCAGGCCGAGTCTATTACAAGAGTGCCTTGTGGATGTAAGAAACTGGATGTCAAAGTATAACCTCCGGGCAAACTCATCCAAAAAATAAATCCTTGTTATTGGCTCCAGAAACAAAAAAAGTCAATTACTGCCATCTACTGGACAACCATCATTACATCTGTAGAGCAGCTTCAGAAGGCACAGAACTCAGCTGTCAGGATTTTAACCAGAGTAAACAGGCTGAAACACATCGCCCCGGTTTGAGCGTCTTAACGCTGACTTCCAGCAGGTTTCAGAATTGATTTTAAGGTTATTTTAATTACTTACAAAACACTCAATCGTCTGACTCCTCAATATATTGCACATCTTTTGTTTCAATACAAGCATTCTCACTTTGTGGTCCTTAGACAGGTGTCTTTTCAAATGCTCCAGATTCTCGGATAAAGGAGACAGAGCTTTTGAAATAAGAGCTTTAGCTTCAAGTTTTATTCAAGGTCTTGCTTACATTTTAATGTATTCATTCTTTTATGACTTGTTATTTTTATGTATTCTTACTTGTGAGTCTTTTATTTGTTAAGCACTTTGTAATTTCGTTTTGAGAAGTGCTGTAGAAATAAAGATATTAGATAGAAATATATTATTATTACTATAAATGTATTTTTGTGTGTGTGAGAGAGAGAGAATGGGCGAATGTCAAAATTATAGAATAGAAAAGCACTGTATAAATACAACCATTTACCATTATATATAATTGAAATAATATATTTTAATCTATATTTGCGGAATGTATGTAAAAATATACAGCAGTAATGAAGTAGAAAAAAAAGGAAGATGGGGGATCGTACCAAAGCTGCCAAGATTATTTCACTCAACTTTTTTTGGCACGTAATTCATTTTTTATATTAATATTAAACATTCAAATTTACAATCATTGCACCACTTTAACAGCAATGCACTTTTATTGCACGCACGACTACAGGTATTGAGATTTGTGAGGTAATGCAGTTTCAGCTTCAGTGCTATTGGTGATGCAGACCACTAGATGTCACTGTGTTTTCCTAATTGAAGCCCTAGAACTTTTTATCATTGTTTGTGCGCAAATAGAAATGAAAGCCTAACCCTCCCAAAAACTTCAATAGGCTCCATCGGCCCATCACTACAATAATGAGAAAAAACGATTAGGTAAAAAAAAACACTCTGGTTAACTTGTATGTGGCACTGCTGCTCATACTTCTATAACTGATTGACTACACACATCACCAGTAGATAAGCATCAGCCCACTTTAGCTAACACACTAATCCAGGTTGGTGTGACAGCTGGTCCAACACATTCAGTTCTTGCAGGTTAACAAATAAACTGCGTCCTTAACCATTGCAACACAAGTTGAGAGTTAAACCCTCTCATGGCAATGTTAGAAAATGAATACATCCGTCAGCAGCTCTGAGAAGAATGCAGCAGAACGAGGCCCCTCAATGGACTCAGATAAGACAAGGACTCTTGTGTTGTAACGCCGGCTATGGGACTCAAGGTCAATGACTGCAACTTATCAATGCTCTGAGTTCCGCCAGTTCAGGTTGTTTCCAGTGGTAACAGGCGTTTATCCTACATAGGCGTTGGACCCGAGTGAGGCAGGTTTGAGAGTACGGTGCATCTCTACAGATTGAATGTGAACTAGCTTTGCCTCAAATGACCAAATAGCTGCCTTGAAGTCATCAGAGGGCTTTGCAATGCTGTGCTCAGCTGCCTATGGACACCATACACCAAAACGGTGTGAGAGCTAGACTCAGTGTGAGCCTACTACTGACTGTGACGTATAATAACAGGAGTTCCCTCGTAGTAACTAACTTACTTATCCATCCTGGCCATCTCCTTGACGGCTTCCACTCCTCCTGGCAGTGGCTCCAGCTCTATGAAGAAGTCTTTGGACTGCCAGATACTGATGGCTTTTTCCTGAAGTCAAAGCACACACACAGGCATAGACCTTATCATTGAGCAGTTAACAGCTGATGAGGTGCATTTATGTGTATCTGACCTGAAGCTGGACCGTCTAAAAGTCATGTTTTTCAAGGTCAGACTTCTCTCCCAATGTCACCTGTGAATGGCCTCAGGGATGTGACAACACCAGACATGTTTTTGTTTTCCTGACAGTTCTGCTGTGTTGGTGTTTGTGTATGTGAGAGAGACGGCCGAGGGCCAGGAGAGGATGAATCGTAGGAGATGTGGTGGGTTAGAGGTTTAGTCTCAGCATAGATTTGAAAATGAGGCTTGGCAGATTCACTTGTAGCAGACGATCAACCACCTTTGATTAGAGGGCATTATCAATAAATCTCGAGGTCCAAGATGTTTTGAGCCACGTTCCACTCATAAATATAACAAATGTGATATCAAAACCAACATTAATCTATTCCATTGAGGAAGAGTCATATATTTTAGTTACAGCTAAAAAAAACACTCACTTTGAAGACAAATCATTAAATTGTGCTTGAGTATATCAACACAGGAACACAATGTTTTAATTGAATGACCCTCAGACTGATTCATACAGGACTATAAATGTTTTTGGAAGGAGGGAAGAGCAATATTTCCTGTTGATTACTATCAAACTTCATCTTACAAACATGCCACTAAGAACACACGGTCTCTAAATGAGAGGAATCGTTTTGCTCGTTTACTTCTGGCAGCACTGAACTGGTTCACCACTTGAAGAGGCCTCTCCAGGAACCATCCACTCACTCATTCATTCATACACCTACACACAGGTCCGTCCTCAGCTGTCCGTACTGCGCTGACACCCAGAACCCCCTCCTGTCCTCCAGGGTGATGTAGGGCTCGCCCGGGTATCTCGCCCGGTACTTCTTCAGGAACCCGCCCTCGAAGTCCGCCAGCACCCCGTCCATGTCGACCAGGACCCGCAGTCGCTTGCCGGCGAGGGAGGAAGTCGACATTTTCTCGCAGATCCTCTTCACCGGGTCAGCGAGCAGAGTCTTACCTCTTCCTCTTCCGAGAAGGCGTGTTGTAGCGGAGAGCAGCAGCATCGTTCACCATAAGCGAGCTCCGGGGACACGGTCCGGACGGCGACAGGAACCCGTGGATACAGTCCGCATAAGAGTCGAGAAGTTAAAACCCTGCAAATCCTTTCTGACTTTTCTCTGAATTAAATCTTATTCGTCTTCTCGTGCAGTTGTGTTCAGGTGCTATCTTAACTTTATTTTGATCACATTCGCCCTAACAGAGGGTTAGCTAACGTAAGCAGCTGCCGGGGCTAGCAGCACCGCAGCGGACGGGGTCAGACTTGGCCGCGGTGAGCGCACAGTTGGTCAGGGATAGTGATCTGACCCGGCGGCCTCCTCTCCACCACACGGTATCTGTGATAGGGACTATCGTGACCGGAAGGAGAGGAGCTGGACACCGCAGCACGGGGGGACCGGAGGAGCCCCGCTGCAGAGGACACACTGTACTGAGGTCTGCACTGCAGAGATATGTCCCTGCGGCGAGACGTCTCACTCCTCTGCGCTGCTGTCGCGTTCTTCTTCTTTTTGATGGTGTAGGGCAGTTAGCCAATAACGTTAAGCTGCTCTACCGCCACCAACTGGTAGGGAGTGTGGATCGGGAACCTGGTGTGAAAATGAATACGAAATAATCCTGTTGTCACGACTGTGTTTCATCTTTATTGTACAAAGTGTTTTCTTTACCATAGAATGGGCCCTCTTTATTTAAACTGATCTAAACTAAATAGACTGGACAAACTGAACACCTTTTGAGTTTTTATGACAACTGAAGGCTTCTCTGTCATGTTTGTAAAGAGAGGTTGAGGTGAGAGGTATTCAGCTATGACATGAAACTTCATCTAACCTAACCTAATTTAACCTAATTTCCCTTTGGGGATGAATAAAGTAATCTATCTATCTAGATGTCACTACATTCTACACAGTGAACCTTTAAAGGCTCAGTGTTTAGAATTTAGTGACCTCCGTACCTCAGCAGTCTGACCAACTGAGGTTCGAGGAGATCAGTCCTACTCCAGAAATCAGCGTTCCTTAAAAACTGGAGGATGAAGAGAAGATAATAGCTCCTTTCCAGCATGGTTAGTCCCACGTCTGAATCCCTTAGTCACCTAGTGTTTATTGTTTCAACTAACATAACGTTTCATTGTGGTTTTCAGAGGTTGTGGCTTAGAGCAGAACAAAGAAAGCATCAAGATGTGTCAGGCCTTCTGCTGCTGCTTCAGCTGCTGTACTATAATACCATGAGTTCTACATGGTCATTTTTCAATGATTGTTTGTGTTTTTATATTTAATTTTGCAAATTCATTTTACCACTTCAAGTATTTCTCATTTCTTTATTTCAACATTTCTGTATTTATTTAAATATTTCAATGTTTCTTGATTTCTATGTTTTCTATCAAAAGTCAAATGTTTGCAAAGTTTTCACTTCAAATTTACCACTGCATCCTATATTGTATGCATATATAAATACAAGATGTTTGAAAATGTGCCAGAATAAACGTTCAGTATTGAAGATGATTATTAGTATTATCTGCAGTTATTGCGGTTATTCGGTAACACTCAAAAAGCTTGAGTCGGCTCATACTTTATCATTTCTTTTGTGGTAGCAAATGACAAGCAGGAATAGAGGTTCTCAGTTCAAGGTGTTTAATTCATGCAAAAAAGCCCAGATTCAGCTGAATACAGGACTGAATGTCGCATATGAATACATAAGAAAATAGTAACTCTCAGTTCATAAGGCAAATACTCTTTGAATACTACTATACAAAGAACAAGGACATGGGTTTGAACTGTTTGTGTGTGCTCATATCTATCTATCCAATTTTAGCTGGTGCTCACAAATTCAGAGTTGTTGAGGGAAAAGACTTGGAATTTGGGGTTTGGGTTAGAATCAGGTTAAGGTTCTGAATTTAGTTGTGATAGTTAAGGTTAGGGTAAGGGACTAGGGAATGCATTATGCCAATGAATGTCTCCACAACTATAGAGAGAATGTGTGTTTGTGTGTGTACATATATATAGATATATATTTCTATGTTATTGTATACTTACACAATGACATAATAACAATTGATGCATTTCATCTGCATCAATAAATACAAATACAAGACAAGATGAATAACTACTGTATCTTGTGTTTGGATTTATAACAAACTTTGTTGGCCAGTAATAATCAATGGACGAGGTACAAACAAGTAAACAAGAGCTCTTTACATTTTAGAACACCTTTGTTTATCTTACCTGCATTTCTTTTTACCCTGAAGTCTCAAATAGGCTCATTTATTCCCTCAACACGTGAAATAAGCACAAGAAATAAGAAGTCTCAATAAAAACCACGAGGAGCATCGCGGGTAAATCATGTCGCTGGCCCTTTAACAAACCAACGGGCGGTTGGTAAATCTCGTGTCAGTTCGCTCTGCTCTCACGATCTCGCGATACCTTCTCCTCAGTGGCGGCTGTGTGGCCCCCTGTCTCAGTCCGGACGGAGTAGTTTCTGACGTTTGAATGAAAAACAGTGCGAATTACCTCCACTTTGGACCCGGGAAATAATGGCTTCAGCCTTGGAGCAGTTTGTGAACAACGTGCGGCAGCTCTCCGCTCAAGGTAAGCGCGCTGAACCCATTCAAGTGGGCAAGTATTAGCTAGTTAGCTAGCATATGCTATCTAGTGCCTTGCCGATAGCTCGGCAGCCAAACTGGCCAGTGCCCCTTTTTCTGCTTTATCATGTAAACACACCGCAAATGTGACTTTCTCCGGCTACGAGAGTTGCGCAAAGTGTCATCAGAAGATGCGTTAGGACTCGCAGACGCCGGTGGCGGCCGCGAACTTGGTGGCTCATGCAACATAATGTCAAAATCATACTTTTTGTTTTTGATCTAGAAAATAATTTCTGGTGACTGCCTACCGGTAGTCCCGCCCCGGCCCCGCGCGATTGGCTGCCCGACTGAATTGGGGATTATCATTGGTTAAAAGTCATCTGTCAATCCAACTGGTATTACCTCTGTTGCAAGGCCTTGACAGGACACTTGACCGGGCGATGTTTATATAAATACTCAGCACGCAGCACGGTGGTCGTAAAGAATTGAAGTAGTCATTTTGTTCTCTGCACTTGTATTTACTCGCGTCTCTGCAACCTTTGACACGCACATTGAAATTGTATAAATCATTTCTCCACTCAAAACAATAAAGACAAAATCGTAGCACGCTCGACACAAGGTGTTTCCCTGCTGACCTTTGTGGATTCTAATATGTTCACCTCAATATTTACAATTGCTGTGATAATTTTATAATATAACTTCTAACCTATGCAACCAACCCATTGCAGTTGTATACTCTTGTGTATAACAGCAAATAATGGCCCTGTAATGTTGACACTGATATTAAATCCAACTGCACGCAATCTATGATACAAATAACAGGCCCACCTAAAGACAGTGATATCTGAAATGTAATCTGTATCCAGCGTTGCCACGTAATGTGTTTCCAATGATCTAAAGAACATGAGAGAAGTTTCAAAGTGGTTTAATGTTCTCTCTTTTTTTCTGTTGTCCCTCCACCTTTATTTCCCAACTTTACCCCCCTAGGCCAGATGACTCAGCTGTGTGAGTTGATCAACAAAAGTGGGGAGCTGCTGGCCAAAAATCTGTCCCACCTGGACACGGTGCTGGGGGCCTTGGACATCCAGGAGCACTCCCTAGGCGTGCTGGCTGTGCTGTAAGTACCCTGCATCGACACAGAAACCCCTTTTTACGCTGGTCAAAACAACCCACTAACACCTGCTGACATCTGGCCGTTATTTGCAATGAGAATGGATTCAGTCTGCATTCACTCCTGGGTCAAATGACAAAGCAGTGATGGAAACGTGACACCCGGTTGAACACGCAAATTTGTCAAGACAATGCACACTTCAGTTGTAAGTGCATGTGTGACATGGAACATGACACATCAGGGCGGGGGTGTGAGGGCAGAAAGGTAAACAGGTTTTAAAAAATCTATCTGTAGTTGCTTGGTGTAAAAGGTATAACTTTATCCAGGTTTTCCTCCATTGCTACAGTTAGCCCTAGTCAAGAGCTCTGTCTCCAGGAAAGTTTTCTGCTGTTCATATGTTAATTTATGTCTGAAAAACCTCTGCCTTCATTATGCTCCTTACTTGGCCAAGAGATTGTCGTATTGTTGTTCCTGGTGAAGGTCGTATTGTACTGTTTGCCTGATGAACAGGGCAGAAGCAGTAGGGCTAGGAAGAAAGATTGTTTTGAATGAGAGACGTAACTCTTCTTGGATATTTGTTATGTGGCAAAATAACGAGAGGGGGGGTTATAACTTGACACAGAAATTTAATTTCAAACATCAGTATTCTCGCACCAATATTAAAAGTATGTGCATATCCGTATGTGTTTTTGTAGATTGGACTAAGGGAAGAAATCAAACAAAGCAAAACTCTCAGACAGTTTAAAAATATTTAACTATTAATGCCCTAGATTAGTTCTCATCTCACCCAAACCTAAATATCTGCAAGTCAGTAAACAAAAGGTCCCTATAATGTATTTTAATTTTCATCCCACATGCAAAAGTATTGTTGTTACCAGTGAAGCTTTCAGGCCTGTATCAAAGTCTCTGTGTTTTACTTAATGTTTTTTCTTCCACTACTGTGTTCCAGATTTGTGAAATTCTCCATGCCAAACATCCCCGACTTTGAGACCCTCTTCTCCCAAGTCCAGCTCTTCATCAGTACCTGCAATGGGGAGCACATTAGATATGCAACAGACACTTGTAAGTCCTGACTAACCAAACCTCTCATTACTAAATGTTTAGGACCCTGTTTGTCTCCTGGTGGCTGTTTGTATGCTGCACAGGTTTTCAGTTGAACCAGAAAACATCTTTCTTGACTACTCAGTGTGCTGTTGTTTGTTATAAATAGGCAGAGTAGTCAGGCTTTAAGTGAATTATGCCCACTGCTTTCATTAGTTATCATTAATTATCATGTCCAGAATGTTTTTCAGTGTCTGTAGACAACTAATGCAAAATGTTTTTCAGTGTCAACTCAAAATAAGAACACGTTGTGTTGTCCTATGGAATCTGAAATGTAAGGGACAGACATGTTGCTAGAAATCGATTAACAACAAGACAATAGTTATCTATGGTACATTATCCAATCGGTTTTAGGATGCTCATAAAAAGTAAAATGTTTCCAACTTGCAGCCCTTGGCAATGTCACAGTTGTCCAAGGCAACCAATCAAATCTTAACCACTACCTGTTTGAATACCGGGTCTACAGGAGAATTAGCAGTACTTCCTCATGAGGAACTGCATAATTCAAGGTCACCCCATTATTCAGTCATTGGCAAACGCATCCATTCCCAACTCACTGAAGAGATGGTGGTTTACTGAATACCACCATCTCTTCAGCGAGTTCATGGTACTGTTTCCTTGTTTTCAGTTTATCATGAACTTGACATTTTCCCCCTCATCAAAAAATAGAGCAAAGGCAAGAGCTTGATGTCTATTTGAATAATTTTTTCCCCGCTATTTATATTTGATCAAAAACTACCTTCTACCCTGGCTAGGTTCTTGATATTAGATTAATTATTACAAACAAATTAAGAAGTTTCTTTAGATAAATCATGGCACTCTTGCACTTTGAGATTGAGAAAAAGTTCAGTTTTTTATGTATATACTCCATTGTCAGTGTTGATAATGTATGTCCTTAACACATGTGACCAGTCATTTTGATTCCTCTCTGTTTCCTTTCATAGTTGCTGGTCTCTGCCACCAGTTGACAAATGCCCTTGTAGAGCGCAAACAGGTAAGACTGACGATTCCGACTCAAGTGAGAGTGAAATGTCCAACAAGATATTATAAAAGAGCTCTGATATAAAATATCTTTTCGAGTTTTAAACTCCAAACAAATCAATATTACCCAGCCTAGATGTTTGACAATCATGTGTAGTGATATTGCAGTATTGCTGCAGTTACTAATAAGGACCAAACTGTTTGAGTATCAATTAAAATACATGGCTGGTTTATTTATTTAAACGACGACTTTTTAGGCATCAAGACTATTTTAATGTGACAATTTTGTGTATTTTTGTGTTGACATACACAACTCACTGAGCACTTCATTAAGAACACTTGCACACCTGCTTGCTTATACATTGGAGCATTTCTGTGCATAGACTCATGGGTATACCATTCAGGAACTTCAGTTTATGTTCACATCTAAATGATCTCAGTCAACTTGACCTTCTAAAGCTACTGTTGTGTATGGTTTCAAATACAACAGTCTCTAGAGGTGTGAAAGACAATTGAAAGCACGAAAACATGGATGTAAGTTAAGCAAGACTACAATATTAAAAACTAGAATTGGGTCAAGTCAGGAAATGTGAGAATGTATGTTTAATGTTTAAAACTTGTATGTAAAATGTTTTCTTGACACTGTAGCTTGTGAATGGGTGAAACATATCTCATGAAATGTTCAGTGCACCTTGCTGCAAAAGCAATTTACTACCTGCTGGAAAAATGATTCAATTTAAATCCTAGTTTTCAACACTGTCCAATGAGCCAAGGCCCCATCACTACAGCATCAGAGGCCCATGTTTTCCTTCTTCTAGCTCTAAATATTTAAATGCATTTTAAAGTGCGGTACAGTCATAGACCACTTAGAGTGTGTTTGTATGTCTCATGCAAGCTGTAACTGATTAAATACTTTTTTCTTCTCCTTCTCTAACAGCCATTGAGGGGTGTCGTCATCCTAAAGCAGGCAATAGACAAAATGCAGATGAACACAAACCAACTTACCTCAGTTCATGCAGACCTGTGTCAGGTGAGTCAGCGCCTCTTGCAGCATCACCTCAATGGCTGTCCTAAAAGGCCTTGTCATGTAGCTAAAAGGGTACATCCATTTGTATACATTTAAAGACAGCATATCATGGGCCACTCACGTACACTGGGAATAAGTGTGCCAGTGTAAACAGGAAGTTATACACGTCTCCCTGGACAGAGGAATTGTTGCAGATTGCTCGATAATCCATTGCCTTCAAGAATTTAAGTGCACGTCAGCTGTTGGCAAAGACTTCAGGGTTAGCAACCCTGTACATGATAATCCATGTTGCGTTCTACACAGGTAGCTGAGGCTGGTTGTTGTGTTCCAGAAGTGGGTCATTTGATTGGTGCCTGACGAATCAGTGAAGAAAATTACAAGGGCACACAATCTATTTAAATATTTTTTCAGTGAGCTGCAAGCAAGCCTCACCATTTTAGCACCTCTAAAACTCTGAAGTGGTGTGGATGCCAGGCGAATCAGTAGCATTTTTAAATTAAAACGCAGTTGGGTGGATGTAACATAAATGTGGTCTGTTTGGGCTGTAATATCTATAATCAATGTGCTCTTTCTTTGTTTTTTCAATCGCCTTCTCTTCCCAGGTGCACATTATTTTATAACGCTTTATAGGTGTTGTGTTAAATTATTCAAAGACAAGCTCATGTCCACTGTGAACTGTCAGTCACACTTCATATCCCTGTCTCCCTGCAGCTGTGCTTGTTAGCAAAGTGCTTCAAGCCTGCCCTGCCCTTCTTGGAGCTGGACATGATGGACATCTGTAAGGAGAATGGAGCCTATGACGCAAAGCACTTTTTATGTTACTACTACTATGGTGGCATGATCTACACGGGCCTCAAAAACTTTGAAAGAGCACTGTATTTTTATGAACAGGTACTTTTTTTTTAATCCATCTGAATTTGTCATTTGCACCCACCTGTGTTGCCTATGTTTCTATATATGATCACATTTTGCATTTTCCCTCATCAGGCAATAACCACTCCAGCCATGGCAGTGAGCCACATCATGTTGGAAGCCTATAAGAAATACATCCTGGTGTCACTCATTCTCCACGGCAAAGTGCAGCAGTTGCCCAAATACACCTCCCAAATAGTAGGGAGGTTCATCAAGGTGAGTCTGCATGGCACTGGTGAAAAGAACGCTACTAGTATTAATAGAAAAAATGTGCCCGTCTGGTGCTCCTCAATTTGGGAAACCAACTAGTTGAGTAAGGTTTGAAAAATCTCGAACAGTTAAGAGGTAATATGTTCAAAAACACTTTAATATAACTTGACGGTTTAGTCATTGATTGTTTACAAGGACAGCAATATTACAATTACAGGGATTAAATGGTTACCGTTGTTGTTAAAGTTGTTA